AGTAAGTGCATACATTTTTCATACTTCACAATAACAGGACTTACAGTTGACTGGGGCAGCTCTAGCAGGGCAGAAATTTGACGAATTCACTTGTTGGAAAGGTAGCATCCTATGACGGTGCCACGTTGACAGTCACTGAGCTCTTCACAGTAAGGCCATTCTACTGCCAATGTTCACCTATGGAGATTGCATGGCTGTGTGCTCAATTTTATATACCTGTCAGAAATGGGTGTGGCTGAAATAGCCAAATCAACTTATTTGAAGAGGTGTCCACATACTTTTGTATATATAGTGTATTCTAACTCAGGTGAGCAGAACCTTGAGACTTCCTTATAACAAAGAGACACACCCACTCGTCTGAGCTTCCCAGACGCAGCCTTTCTGTCCTGCCAATGTATAGAAAAATCAGCTAGATCTATATTTAGCATATCCTTGTTCAGCCACGACTCAGAAACATAGGATATTACAGTACTTCAGATCACGTTGATAGGATAGATCACGTTTAATTATTGCTGCGTTATGAAAGGAACTAGACACGGACACTAATTATCTGTTTAGTGTGTTAACACACTATTGGTAGTTTGTTGTAACCAAGTATTGGTGCTAAACCGTGTGTTATTGGATGCTAGCATGCTAGTTAGCTATGGTGTCATAGGATACGGTGCCCTGGGCGGTTTTCATGGAAGAATACTGTACCAAGTTAGCTAGCTGAATAAAGTAAGTCAGAGTCTATTCCTAGAAACATTGAACCGCTGTAGTTTACAACAATTATAATTTCTAAAGTGGAAGTTGGGAGAGTTATATTCGGGTGTTTCAGTGAAACAATTATAGTTTCTGAGGTGGAAGTTGGGAGAGTCATATTTGGGAGTTGTGGTGAGGGAGGCCCCACTCTCTCCTTTCCCAGATGTTTAGTTCATTTCATTCCGATCTCCTCTGCATTATTGTAGCCATTTGCTGCAGCCTGTCAACTATGCCTCTGCCTATCCCTGTTCTCTCCTCTCCGCACAGGCTACACTAACGCCTCACACCGCGTGGCTGCTGCCTCTCTAACCTGGTGGTCCCTGCACGCACCACCCACCTGGAGTTCCAGGTCTCAGGCAGCCTCTGGAACTGCCGTTCTGCTGCCAACAAGGCAGAGTTCATCCCAGCCTATGCTACCCTCCAGTCCCTCGACTTCTTGGCGCTGACGGAAACATGGATTACCACTGAAAACACTGCTACTCCTACTGCTCTCTCCTCGTCTGACCATGTGTTCTCGCATACCCCGAGAGCATCTGGTCAGCGGGGTGGTGGCACAGGAATCCTCATCTCTCCCAAATGGACATTCTCAATTTTTCCCCTAACCCATCTGTCTATCTCCTCATTTGAATTTCATGCTGTCACAGTCACTAGCCCATTTAAGCTTAATATCCTTGTCATCTATCGCCCTCAAGGTTCCCTTGGAGAGTTCATCAATGAGCTTGACGCCTTGATAAGTTCCTTTCCTGAGGATGGCTCACCCCTCACAGTTCTGGGGGATTTCAACCTCCCTACGTCTACATTTGACTCATTTCTCTCTGCCTCCTTCTTTCCACTCCTCTCCTCTTTTGACCTCACCCTCTCACCGTCCCCCCCTACTCACAAGGCAGGCAATACGCTTGACCTGATCTTTACTAGATGCTGTTCTTCTACTAATCTCACTGCAACTCCCCTCCATGTCTCCGACCACTACTTTGTATCCTTTTCTCTCTCGCTCTCCTCCAACACTACTCACTCTGCCCCTACACAGATGGTAATGCGCCGCCGCAACCGTCGCTCTCTCTCTCCCGCTACTCTCTCCTCTTCCATCCTATCATCTCTTCCCTCTGCTCAATCCTTCTCCCCCCCCCCCCCAAGATCCTTGATCCAAACCAGTCAGGTTTCAAGACTGGTCATTCAACTGAGACTGCTCTTCTCTGTGTCACGGAGGCTCTCCGCACTGCTAAAGCTAACTCTCTCTCCTCTGCTCTTGTCCTTCTAGACCTGTCTGCTGCCTTTGATACTGTGAACCATCAGATCCTCCTCTCCACCCTCTCCGAGCTGGGCATTTCAGGCGCGGCTCACTCTTGGATTGCGTCCTACCTGACCGGTCGCTCCTACCAAGTGGCGTGGCGAGAAGCTGTCTCCGCACCACGTGCTCTCACCACTGGTGTCCCCCAGGGCTCAGTTCTAGGCCCTCTCCTATTCTCGCTATACACCAAGTCACTTGGCTCTGTCATATCCTCACAAGGCCTCTCCTATCATTGCTACGCTGACGATACACAACTAATCTTCTCCTTTCCCCCTTCTGATAACCAGGTGGCGAATCGCATCTCTGCATGTCTGGCAGACATATCAGTATGGATGACGGATCACCACCTCAAGCTGAACCTTGGCAAGACGGAGCTGCCCTTCCTCCCGGGGAAGGACTGCCCGTTCCATGATCTCGCCATCACGGTTGACAACTCCGTTGTGTCCTCCTCCCAGAGTGCGAAGAGCCTTGGCGTGACCCTGGACAACACCCTGTCGTTCTCCGCTAACATCAAGGCGGTGACCCGATCCTGTAGGTTCATGCTCTACAACATTCGGAGAGTACGACCCTGCCTTACACAGGAAGCGGCACAGGTCCTAATCCAGGCACTTGTCATCTCCCGTCTGGATTACTGCAACTCGCTGTTGGCTGGGCTCCCTGCCTGTGCCATTAAACCCCTACAACTCATCCAGAATGCCGCAGCCCGTCTGGTGTTCAACCTTCCCAAGTTCTCTCACGTCACCCCGCTCCTCCGCACACTCCACTGGCTTCCAGTTGAAGCTCGCATCTGTTACAAGACCATGGTGCTTGCCTATGGAGCTGTGAGGGGAACGGCACCTCCGTACCTTCAGGCTCTGATCAGTCCCTACACCCAAACGAGGGCATTGCGTTCATCCACCTCTGGCCTGCTGGCTCCCCTTCCTCTGCGGAAGCATAGTTCCCGCTCAGCCCAGTCAAAACTCTTCGCTGCTCTGGCACCCCAATGGTGGAACAAGCTCCCCTCACGACGCCAGGACAGCGGAGTCACTCACCACCTTCCGGAGACATTTGAAACCCCACCTCTTTAAGGAATACCTGGGATAGGATAAAGTAATCCTTCTACCCCCCCCCCCCCCCACAAAAAAAAAAAAAAGTAAAGTGGTTATCCCACTGGCTATAAGGTGAATGCACCAATTTGTAAGTCGCTCTGGATAAGAGCGTCTGCTAAATGACGTAAATGTAAATGTAGGATAGTCTCGAACGGAGCTCATCCAGTTTATTCTCCAGTGATTGCACGTTCGCCAATAGAACGGAGGGTAGAGGCGATTGATCCACTCTCCGACGTAGTCTCGTCAGGTATCCTGCACGCCGGCCTCTATAGTACTGTCTCCTCCGAGTGTCTGGGATTTGGGCCTGGTCCGCGATAATCAATGTCTTTCGCCTCCGACTCAATGAAGTCCTCATCCAAATGGAGGTGTGTGATCGCTGTTCTGATGTCTAGAAGCTATTTTCAGTCATAGGAAACGATGGCGGAAACATTATGTACAAGAAAAGTTAAGACCAGCACAAAAAAACACAATAGTACAATTGGTCAGGAGCCCGTAAAACGGCCGCCATTCCCTCCGGCGCCATTATGGTGCTGCCCAAACCAAGGAAATATATGTTACATACTAGATTCCTTACATCTCGCAAATCTCTGTTTTAGATGATGCCGACTTTAAGACCAAAATTATACCATTTACACTTCGTAGTAAATTTTGACACTAGAATACATTTTTCTGACTCATATCGATGCCACATAGGCTGTTTTCAACCAGAGAAGTAGTTGTTTCGGTTCAGTTGCGCTTAAAAAAAGACATGTATTACTCAAGCCAGGAAAGAAGTTAACCCGAGACATGGCTGTAGACTCCTACTACAGCTAGCCGTCTACAGCCATGTCTCAGGGCAAGAAAGAAAGGTGACAACTGAACCAAGAGTTTTCCATGTACATTGTTTCATGTAGGATAGAACCAATGATGTGTACAAAACATTAGGAACACCTCTTTCCATGACAGACTGACCAGGTAAAAGCTATGATCCCTTATTGATGTCACTTGTTAAATCCACTTCAGTGTAGATGAAGGGGAGGCGACAGGTTAAAATATTTTTAAGCCTGGAGACATTTGAGACATGGATTGTGTATGTGTACCATTCAGAGGGTGAATGGGCAAGTCAAAAGATGTAAGTGCCTTTGAACAGAGTATGGTAGTAGGTGTCAGGCGCACCGGTTTGTGTGTCAAGAACTGCACATTTGCTGGGTTTTTCCACACTCAACAGTTTCCCGTGTGTATCAAGAATGGTCCCCCACCCAAAGGACATCCAGCCAACTTGACAACTGTGGGAAGCATTGGCGTCAACATAAGCCAGCATCCCAGTGGAACGCTTTCGACACCTTGTAGAGTCCATGCCCCGACAAATTGATGCTGTTGAGGGCAAAAGGGGGTGCAACTCAATATTAGGAAGGTGTTCCTAATGTTTTGTACACTCAGTGTATATAAACCCTGGATTGCTGATGCTATGTATTGGCCATTGAGAGGCTGAATGGAATTCTACAGTATTTCAATAAAATGTTTCAAGGACAAAATCACATGTACTTAAGTATTTTTTGTTGTAGTGGGGACAGTAAAATTAGTAATCTCTAAAAATGATACTAAAGAAAATGTTTATATAATGTATATATTTATGTTTAGCTCACATAATATAATTTAAAAGTATGCATTAAGGTGTCTGTAATAGAATAATGTAGACAGTAAATGTATTTCTATAGCTTCCAAAATATTTTTTTACAATGGGGACTTAGTGCCAAGATGGCGGCATGGTGGCTTAAACACAGCGCCCCCTATCAGTCATCTAGTGTCTATATAACTAATTGGATAGAACCTGTCAAATTGCATATTCAACTACAGTACTGTCTAAGCCACTCTCCTGCTCCTCCCCTGCCTCTCTCTCACCTGGCCTCCATGAGGCGGCATGCCCGCTCCTCCCAGTGCTCAGACATGGTGAGCAGCTCCTGCAGGCGGGCCATAGCCCTCTCCACCGAGGCATGCGGGGCCAGGCCCACCCCCTGGTCTATCAGCCTCCGCATGGTGTCCAGACACAGGCTGTGGGGCCGGCCGCTTGCTTCCTTAACCCCGTCCAGCCAGCGAGCCTGCTCCAGCCTCTCCCTGAGCAGGGCCAGCTGGGGAAGCGCCACATCCAGGCCCAAGCTCACGTCCAGCAGGCCCTGCAGCGCCGCTGGGCTGGGGGCCTCGTCAGAGAGGAGCTGCTTACTGCTCTGCTGGAAGTCATCCACGCGGGTCAGCAGGTCCTGGGGGGGGAGATACAAGCAGGTTAAAGCGTTAATCAATTAAAAATGTTCAGTGTTCTCCTGGTTCTCCTGTGGCTTGTAGGTAGGCTTTTGTCCCAGCCTAATGCCACATCTAATCAATGAAGTCATCATGACTGTGCTGAGTCAGGTGTTAGTGAAGTGAGAAACAAAGTACTTGTCAATGGGTCTTACCTGGTTAAATAAAGGTTAAATACAAATAAAACTGTAGCGGTAGTAGGTCCTCCAGCCCTAAAGTACCATGCATTTACATTTAGCAGACACTCTTATCCAGAGTGACTTACAACCAGTGCATTCAACTAAGGTAGTTAAGACAACCACATATCACAGTCATTGCAAGTAAAACCTTCCTAACTCCTACCTTGAGTAAGGGGGCCTGGCGGATGCTGCAGGGCAGGTTGTGCAGCTGCCTTACAAACGACCTGAGCTCCTCCACCGTTAGCAGATTCTGGCTCTGGGACTTCCTTCCACCTGAACGATACCTGACAACACACTCTAGATCAGAGACACGGCTAACCTACAGAGCACATAAGCTGAAATAAAAGCACATTGGCCCTGCGATAGATTAGCGTCCTGTCCAGGTGGTGTACATAAAGCTGCCTTAGGCTCCTGCCCTATGAGCAGTTCCGGCTCGCACTAGCCAAGGCTTGCGCAAGGCTACTTACATACATTATTGCTTTCAGAATTAGTTACCATTTGGCTAACCATGTGGCTAAGAATACAAGAATCAGGCGTGGTAAAGGATTTTAACATTAGAAAGCATGATAATACAATAACAGAAATCATGTGTGTCTACCTGGTCTGCCTCTTCCCAATGAGTAGCTGCTGGGCCACCCCAGCACACTTCTCAGCATCCAAGGTGACTGTGCGGAGCTGCCGCAGGAGGTCACTCGGAGGGAACTGCTTCACCTCCGCCTCCTCCACCAGGGAGCGCAGCTCTTCCAAGCCTGAACATACATAAATAAACAAACACTGCTTTAAACACAGTCATCAATTCATTCGAAGAATCATGGTCCAATGATCAAGTAAGCTGTACAATTAACAAAGGGTAGATAATCATCTATTTTATTATATTCTGGTATTTTGTGTGCATCCTTAAACAAAGGCAACATATCTGGGTGACTAGGAGCACAAAACATTCCATAAGACATTTAAGAACAACCTGTCTACTTGGGGTTACGCAAATAAGCAACCATAACATTAAGTTTTGTTACGTAATGACCAATTTGAATTCCATAGACACCTGAACCCAAAGATGTATCCTACTTACCACTTTTCTTGTCTTGTTTGGCCTCCAGGATGTCACTGACATGGGAGACCCAGTCTGTGTAGGACTCTGCACGCACCGTGACTGCTTCCATCATGGGGAAGAGCTCAGCCATGGTAAACCTGTAGCTGTAGTGCAAGACACAGGTCTAGTGTGTTTCTGAAGACTAATCCTGGCTGAGCAACAGCTGTCACAATTGGTGATTTTCTAGCCAGGTGATGTTTATTTTTATTTTTGAAGGTCTAGTAGGCCTTTAGACATTTCAATGCTGTGCACCCTGACTTTGCCCCTTACTTTAAGTTCATCCATGTTCTTAAAAAGGGGCATTTTACTCAAAAACAGAATAATTTATTTATAATTTGTGCATGGGATCTGTAAAACGTATGGCAATATTAGCATATGAGCTTCTGTAAAACATGGGACGTACGTAATGAGGGGGACATGATGAATATTAACATTCTTATGTGGGCATTTAGAACTAATTTGGCTGTGGATAGACTTACTTGAGTGTGAGGTTGCTGGGGGGGCAGGAGCAGAGTTCGTGGGCGTGGTGCAGACACACCAGCTGGCCGGGTCTGCAGGGACAGGTGAGGGCAGACAGGTAGCAGGTGGTCCTGCACTTGGAACACTGGCGCTCCTCGTCTGGCAGCAGGTCGTACTCCGCCTGCTGGGAACGCTGCACGCCCTGGGAACACACAGATACACATCATATAAGTAAGGTCATGGACACAACCACAGATTAGTAGTGTCAAAGAGATCACAGACACCTAGTGCCATACTATGAGGAGAGACAGGGACGACTTGTGCACATACACTAGTGGAGGAAAGTTTACTGTGGCCATTTCAAATCAAATTGTATTGGTCGCATGCACATATTTAGCAGATGTTATTGCGGGTGTAGTGAAATGCTTGTATTCCTAGCTCCAACAGTGCAGTAATATCTAACAATACACACAAATCTAAAAAGTTAAAGAATGGAATTAAGAAATATAGAAATATTAGGACGAGCAATGTCGGAGTCTGGAGTATAAATAAATGGGATGTACAGTGCATTCGGAAAGTATTCAGACCCCTTGATTTTTCCACACTTTGTTACGTTACAGCCTTAATCTAAAATGGAATATATATATATATATATAGTTTACTATTATTATTTATTTTTCCATCAATCTACACACAAAACCCCATAATGACAAAGCAAAACCCTTATTATTTTTATTATTGCAAATGTATTAAAAACTAAAAACTGAAATATCACATTTACATAAGTATTCAGACCCTTTACTCAGTACTTTGTTGAAGCGCCTTTGGTAGAGATTACAGCCTCGAGTCTTCTTGGGTATGACGCTACAAGCTTGGCACACCTGTATTTGGGGAGTTTCTCCCATTCTTCTCTGCAGATCCTCAAGCTCTGTCAGGTTGGATGGGGAGCGTCACGGCACAGCTATTTTCGATCAGGTTCAAGTCCGGGCTCTGGCTGGGCCAGTCAAGGACATTCAGAGACTTGTCCCGAAGCCACTCCTGCATTGTCTTGATTGTGTGCTTAGGGTCGTTGTCCTGTTGGAAGGTGAACCTTTGCCCCAGTCTGAGGTCCTGAGCAGGTTTTCATCAAGGATCTCTCTGTACTTTGCTCCGTTCATCTTTCCCTCGATCCTGACTAGTCTCCTAGTCCCTGCCGCTGAAAACATCCCCACAGCATAATGCTGCCACCACGTTTCACCGTAGGGATGGTACCTGGTTTCCTCCTGAGGTGACGCTTGGCATTCAGGCCAAAGAGTTCAATCTTGTTTTCACAGACCAGAGAATCTTGTTTCTCATGGTCTGAGAGTCCTTTAGGTGCCTTTTGGCAAACTCCAAGTGGGCTGTCATGTGCCTTTTACTGAGGAGTGGCTTCCGTCTGGCCACTCTACCATAAAGGCTTGATTGGTGGAGTGCTGCAGAGATGGTTGTCCTTCTTGAAGGTTCTCCCATCTCCACAGAGGAACTATGGAGCTCTGTCAGAGTGACCATCTTGATCACCTCCCTTACCAAGGCCCTTCTCCCCCAATTGCTCAGTTTGGCCAGGCGACCAGCTCTAAGAAGAGTCTTGGTCGTTCTAAACTACTTCCATTTAAGAATGATGGAGGCCACTGTGTTCTTGGGGACCTTCAATGCTGCAGAAATGTTTTGGTACCCTTCCCCAGATCTGTGCCTCGACACAATCCTGTCTCGGAGCTCTACGGACAAGTCCTTCGACCTCATGGCTTGGTTTTTGCTCTGACATGCACTGTCAACTGTGGGACCTTTATATAGACAGGTGTGTGCCTTTCCAAATAATGTCCAATCAATTGAATTTACCACAGTTGGACTCCAATCAAGTTGTAGAAACATCAAGGATGATCAATGGAAACAGGATACACCTGAGCTCAATTTCAAGTTTCATAGCAAAGGGTCTAGATTATTTCTGTTTTTAAATGTATGTGCTAAAATCTCTAAAAACCTGTTTTTTGCTTTGTCATTATAGGTTATTGTGTAGATAGATTAAATAAATAAATAAATCTATTTTAGAATAAGGCTGTAACTAAAAAGGGAAGGGGTCTGAATCCTTTCCGAATGCACTGTATGTGCCGGTATGAGAGGCCTCTCACCATCTTGCGGACTTTGTCCCTCTGCTTGTCTTCCTCCTGGAGCATGACGGTCATGTCCCTCTGCACAGCCGAGGCCAGGGCCACATCCATGGTGGTGTCCGCCTTGGACGCCATCTTGCAGACCATCTCGTCGTGGGAGAAGACGCAGTACCTATTCAGCCGCCGATAGTGGTCCACACACATGCGGCCCATGGGCATCTGAAAAACAGCAGGAGGCTTTGGGTTAGAACTATACACTACTATCGATTTAACACTATCGACAAGAGCCGTACACAGTGCTGGTTACATCAGTAATAACCTAACTTGATCCATAGAGCTACAAGGTATACAGGCTTTTGTCCACTGCTCATTAGAAGCATCTTTGCTAATTACTAGCTTCTGTATGGTATTGATAAGGTCCTTCAAGGCATCTTACCCAGTCCATGGTGCAAAAGTTGACAGCCTCAGCGAAGTTGAATCCCTGGTTAAATCCACTATGGTAGGCTCTGGGGAAGGTGATGACAAACTCGCCAGCGCACTGATTGGTGCGATAAATCTAGAGAAGAGTGGGTATGAAGTCACGGTTAGATCAATAGTATACCTACACACATTTTTTATTTAATTTTTTTACTTGCCCACCTGCCTTCATAACTGTTGGTCTTCATCACTGTGTGTGTGTTGGGGTGTGGTACTTACGGGGACGCCGTGGTTCATGAGTGTGTTGGGGTTCATGATGGTGACCAGCTGGTGCAGGAGGTCAGGCTGGGACTCAAACAGCTCGGGGGCCAGTTTCATCATCACCCCCTCCAGCTTCTCTGCAGCATATCCTGGAGCCCCGTACCATGTCTTGGGCTCTCCCCTGAGAACACAGACACCATTTTCTCAAAAACACTGATGTTATCACTTAAGCTTGAGGTGTATTCTTGTGTGTTTAATACCACCTCAACCAATAAACTAACTCCAATACTAAGTAAGCATATGGGTTTGAAAAGATTCCTCAAAATGAAAGAAGCAGAGACTATTTGCTTAGACCTCTACACAATGCTTTATACCTAGGGCCAAGAGTTTTCCTGGGTCCAGCCACAAGGTCATATTATACTATACTGGTGGCCTGTGGGGCCTTAAGAAGCAGCCTATATGTACCAGTGCAGGTAGTTGATGGAGTAGCTCCAGTGGTCCTCAATGTGCCAGCAGAAGGAGGAGAAGCACATGCCCACGTAGAGCCAGGGTAACTTCATCCCACAGATGTCAGCCGTAATGTGAGTCAGCACCGAGGAGTCTATCACGGGCATGTTGTTCAGGTTCCAGCCACTGCTCAGGTAATCCTAAGGGTCAGAGACAGGGCACAAGTTAAGGCTTGACTGACCTCAGGGTGACAGTCTAAGACACTGGGTCTGAGATGCTACTTTACTGGGAAGGGTTTAATCTGCATTAGAACTCCAATATCACCATAAATACAAGCAACAAGTTATACCAAGGTCTCTGAGGGGCATAGATTTCTGGGAGGTTGTGATGTAGCTACTCGCTAGCTAATAATTGTCTCGATTATCGATCTATAGAGAATGTTGTGAAGCAGATTCTAAAATAAAATAATTATCTTCAGGTGGCAAACAGCTCTCTTGGCCTTAGATGATGTACTGTTGCCATGATGTTGTGGTACAATAAACTTCAGAATCCTCCCAATACCTAGCCTATGTTAACCTGTAAGAGGAGAGCCTTTGTACCTCATCCTCAGGGGAGACTTGGAATCGTCCGCCTCTGATGGGGAAGCCACTCCCGAACTCCTTGGAGGCAATGTCAGCCCCATACTCCACAGTGACGTCCTCCTCGATGGTGCTGACCAAGCGCCAGAACTCCTTCTCCACTAGCTCTGTTGGAACCATCTGATAGACAGAGAGAAAAAACAGTTACCTCAACTTCTGACTGAGCATGGATGAGCTACATCTAATACAGCCAATCAGACTGGAGTTCAGAAGCGAGCCACTGAGAAAATATTCTGAAATGGAGGCTCCGTCTAAAACTTGTTTAATACGAATATTTTCCTGTTTTCTCTCTACTAAACACCACATCTGCTTCCCAACTTACATGAACCGGCATGTTGAAATAGTCTGACTTGAAGGAGTCTGCCATGTCCCCAAAAGTGCGTAGGGAGTAGTCCCTCCCAGCCTGCTCGAAACCAAAGGCTACCTGAGGTTTGCCACACTCCTGTAGGGAAGACAAGAATGAGAAGTAAGCACTAATACAGCAAATGTAAACAAAAAACTAAACAGGAGGGAAGTATTCCATTGAGTAGCTACAGAAAATAACATACAGACGAGCAGAATTTGAGCATGCTTTTGTTTAGCTGTGTGTTAGCCTTAACAGTTAAAACAATATTGAGTTCCCATTTCCAGACTACTGCTGCTGCAGTGTTCAGCTAGCTTCCCCAGTGGACAGGGTGGGTGGAGTGTGTTGACAGAGTGACAGTGTAGTATGGTAATTGAGGCAGGACGAGAGAGGGAGCATGTCTGTCACCTGAGCCAGGCATTTGGGGCACCTCCAGTCTCCTTTGGGGACATCGTGGAGGGGCGGGATCAGACAGAAGGTGTGGTAGCTGTCGTCACAGCCGTCACAAAGCAGCAGGCGGTCCTCTTCGCTCCCGCTGCCACACACCAGACACATGTACTGGTCCACCTGAGGAGACCAGACCATGAGGCTTCTTATACACTTTTCAGCTAAAACGTTGCAAAATGGCTGCCATGTGTCAACCAGGTGGGTGGATGGGACGAGTTACTTTTGTGAGAGACCTGACCTGTATAAATTCTATCCATTATGGTTATTATAATCATTACCATCATCACAGTAATAATGAAGAGACAATTTGCCCTGATTAGATCAAATATATTAGCATTTAAAAAAGGTACTTTGCTCACTGTGGGGTCGTTTTTCTTAGTCAGCACGTTTTCTTTGTCACTTGTTATTGGCTCCTCATGCTCTGTGGCTTCCTGTTTCACCTGAACAGGTAACTCTTTCACTGAAATACATTTATCACATTGTTAAATGGAGGCTAAGGCATACAGTATGTACTAATATAAACAACCCTGTTCTAATAAACACTGAACAAAAATATAAATGCAACATGTAAAGTGTTGGTCCCATGTTTCATGAGCTGAAATAAAATATCCCAGAAATGATCCATACGCACAAAATACTTATTTCTCTCAAATGTTGTGCAGAAATGTGTTAACATCCCTGTTAGTGAGCATTTCTCCTTTGCCAAGATAATCCATCCACCTGACAGGTGTGGCATATGAAGAAGCTGATTAAACAGCATGATCATTACCCAGGCACGCCTTGTGCTGGGGACAATAAAAGGCCACTCTAAAATGTGCAGTTTTGTCAAACAATGCCACAGATGTCTCAAGTTGAGGGAGCGTGCAAATGGAAAGCTGACTGCAGGAATGTCCACCAGAGCTGTTGCCAGAGAACTGAATGTTCATTTCTCTACCATAAGCCGCCTCCAACGTAATTTTAAAGAATTTGGCAGTACGTCCAACCGGCCTCACAATTAAAGATCACATGTATGGTGTCGTGCGGGCTAGCGGTTTGCTGATGTCAATGTTGTGAACAGAGTGCCCCATGGTGGAGGTGGGGTTATAGTATGGGCAGGCATAAGCTATGGACAACGAACACAATTGCATTTTATCGATGGCAATTTCAATGCACAGAGATACCGTGAAGAGATCCTGAGGCCCATTGTCATGCCATTCATCCAGCCGCCATCACCTCATGTTTCAGCATGATAATGCACGGCCCCATGTCGCAAGGATCTGTACACAACTCCTGGAAGCTGAAAATGTCCCAGTTCTTCCATGGCCTGCATACTCACCAGACATGTCACCAATTGAGCATGTTTGGAATGCTCTGGATTGACGTGTATGAAAGTGTGCTCCAGTTCCTGCCAATATCCAGCAACTTTGCACAGCCATTGAAAAGGAGTGGGACAACATTCCACAGGCCACAATCAACAGCCTGATCAACTATATGCGAAGGAGAAGTGTCACGCTGCATGAGGCAAAATGGTGGAATTTATTTAAGGAATTTGTGACCAACAGATGCATATCTGTATTCCCAGTCATGTGAAATCCATAAATAAGGGCTTAATGCATTTATTTCAATTGTATGATTTCCTTATATGAACTAAACTCAGCAAAAAAAGAAACGTCCTCTCAATGTCAACTGCGTTTATTTTCTGTAAAAATGTTTATGAACATAGCAAGATTCAACAACTGAAAAAAAAAACTGAACAAGTTCCACAGACATGTGACTAACAGAAATTGAATAATCTGTCCCTGAACAAAGGGGGGGGGGGGGGTCAAAATGAACAGTCAGAATGCAGCTGGTGGCCACACCAGATAAAGTACTGTAGTACATCTCCTCCTCATGGACTGCACCAGATTTGCCACTTCTTGCTGTGAGATGTTACCCCACTCTTCCACCAAGGCACCTGCAAGTTCCCTGACATTTCTGGGAGGAATGGCCCTGGCCCTCACCCTCCGATCCAACAGGTCCCAGACGTGCTCAATGCATTTGAGATCCGGGCTCTTTGCTGGCCATGGCAGAACACTGACATTCCTGTCTTGCAGGAAATCACGCACAGAACGAGCAGTATGGCTGGTGGCATTGTCATGCTGGAGGGTTATGTCAGGATGAGCCTGCAGGAAGGGTACCACATGAGGGAGGAGGATGTCTTCCCTGTAACGCACAGCGTTGAGATTGCCTGCAATGACAACAAGCTCAGTCCGATGATGCTGTGACACACCGCCCCAGACCACGACGGACCCTCCACCTCCAAATCAATCCCGCTCCAGAGTACAGGTCATCGGTGTAACGCTCATTCCTTCGACGATAAATGCGAATCCAACCATTACCCCTGGTAAGACCAAACCGCAACTCGTCAGTGAAGAGCACTTTTTGCCAGTCCTGTCTGGTCCAGCGACGGTGAGTTTGTGCCCATAGGCGACATTGTTGCCGGTGATGTCTGGTGAGGACCTGCCTTACAACAGGCCTACAAGCCCTCAGTCCAGCCTCTCTCAGCCTATTGCGGACAGTCTGAGCACTGATGGAGGGATTGTGCGTTCCTGGTGTACCTCGGGCAGTTGTTGTTGCCATCCTGTACCTGTCCCCCAGGTGTGATGTTCGGACGTACCGATCCTGTGCAAGTGTTGTTACACGTGGTCTGCCACTGCGAGGACGATCAGCTGTCCATCCTGTCTCCCTGTAGCGCCGTCTTAGGCTTCTCACAGTACGGACGTTGCAATTTATGGCCCTGGCCACATCTGCAGTCCACATGCCTCCTTGCAGCACGCCTAAGGCATGTTCACACAGATGAGCAGAGACCCTGGGCATCTTTCTTCTGGTGTTTTTCTTTCAGTAGAAAGGCCTCTTTAGTGTCCTAAGTTTTCATAACTGTGACCTTAATTGCCTACAGTCTAAGCTGTTAGTGTCTTAACAACCGTTCCACAGGTGCATGTTCATTCATGGTTTATGGTTCATTGAACAAGCATGGGAAACAGTGTTTAAACCCTTTACAATGAAGATCTGTGAAAGACAGGGTCCTGAAAAAGGGACCTTTTTTTGCTGAGTTTATAACTCAGTAAAATCGTTTAAATGGTTGCGTTAATATTTTTGTTCAGTATAGATTTAAAATATTATAAAATGTACATTTTCTTCATAATTTTACTTGTAAAACATTAAATATTTATTTCAAAACGCAATCATTCCCAAGACTTAAATTAAACCAGAAAAACATTTTCATTTGTTCATGAAAAATATTCAGTTCTTTCACATTGCACTAAACTTCGCCAGAGGTCAGTGCTTACCAGGCTGTGGCTCTGGCTTGGCCACGTAGGAGCCCATCCTCCTCCTCAGGTTGGGCCGGTTCTCACAGTCCTCCTCGGTCACCGTCTTCATACAGCCTTCCTGCCAGAAAGAGAAAGAGAAAAGAGGGGTTCATGCCATGTGGACCACGACAGGAAAATCAGGAACAGCAAAATCCTTTTTATGAGCTCACAATTGCATACACACACACAAAAGCTCTTTGGTTTGGTGTCCAGAAATACAGTACCAGTCAAATGTTTAGACACACCTACTCATTCCAGGGGTTCTCTTTATTTTTACTATTTTCTACATTTACATTTTAGTCATTTAGCAGATGCTCTTATCCAGAGCGACTTACAGTTTTAGTGAGTGCATACATTTTTCTACATTGTAGAATAATAGAAGACATCAAAACTATGAAATAACACATATGGAATCATGTAGTAAACAAAAAAGTGTTAAACAAATCAAAATATATTTTATATTTGAGATTCTTCAAAGTAGCCACCCTTTGCCTTGATGACAGCTTTGCACACTCTTGGCATTCTCTCAACCAGCTTCATGAGGTAGTCGCAAGGAATGCATTTCAATTAACAGGTGTGCCTTAAAACTTAATTTGTGGAATTTATTTGTCTTAATGCATTTGAACCAATCAGTTGTGTTGTGACAAGGTAGGGGTGGTATACAGAAGATAGCCCTATTTGGTAAAAGACAAAGTCCATATTATGTCAAGAACAGCTCAAATAAGCACAGAGAAACGACAGTCCATCATTACTTTAAGACATGAAGGTTAGTCAATACGGAAAATTAAGAACTTTAAGTTTCTTCAAGTGCAGTCGCAAAAAACATAAAGCGCTATGATGAAACTGGCTCTCATGAGGACTGCCACAGGAAAGGAAGACCCAGAGTTACCTCTGCTGCAGAGGATAAGTTCATTAGTTACCAGCCTCAGAAATTGCAGCCCAAATAAATGCTTCAGAATTCAAGTCACAGACACATCTCAACATCAAATGTTCAGAGGAGACTCCGTGAAATCAGGCCTTCATGGTCGAATTGCTGCAAAGAAACCATTACTAAAAGGACACCAATAAGAAGAAGAGACTTGCTTGGGCCAAGAAACATGAGCAATGGACATTAGACCGGTGGAAATATGTCCTTTGGTCTGGAGTCCAAATTTGAGATTTTTGGTTTCAACCGCCATATCTTTGTGAGACGCAGAGTAGGTGAACGGATGATCGCCGCATGTGTGGTTCCCACCGTGAAGCATGGAGGAGGTATGATGGTGTGGGGGTGCTTTGCTGGTGACACGGTCTGTGATTTATTTAGAATTCAAGGCACACTTAACCAGCATGACTACCACAGCATTCTGCAGCGATACGCCATCCCATCTGGTTTGCGCTTAGGGGGACTATCATTTGTTTTTCAACAGGACAATGACCCAACACACCTCCAGGCTGTGTAAGGGCTATTTTACCAAGAAGGAGAGTGATGGAGTGCTGTATCAGATGACCTGGCCTCCACAATCACCCAACCTCAACCCCAGTTGGACCGCAGAGTGAAGGAAAAGCAGCCAACAAGTGCTCAGCATATGTGGGAACTCCTTCAAGACTGTTGGAAAAGCATTCCAGGTGAAGCTGGTTGAGAGAATGCCAAGCGTGTGCAAAGCTGTCATCAAGGCAAAGCGTGGCTACTTTGAAGAATATAAAATATATTTTGATTTGTTTAACACTTTTTTGGGTTACTACATGATTCCATGTGTGTTATTTCATAGTTTTGATGTCTTCACTATTATTATACAATGTAGAAAATAGTAAAGATAAAGAAAAACCCTTGAATAAGTATGTGTCCAAACTTTTGACTGGTACTGTACATGCAAAGCTGCAAACCACCGCTTGTCTGCATTGGTAAATTGGGTAACTGGGCTTTTGTTTTATAGGGTGTTAATTCATCCACTGACTCGGGTAGAGCTGTGTCTTATGAGGACCAGGGAACTATTGTGGGTTATAGTCAGGGGTGAAATAAGGCGATACGGCGTCCCGGCAAAATAAATAGTGGGGGTACGCTGTACCGGTAAAACATTAGCATATCACAATAATTAAAACAAAATGTCAAGAAAACTGTAGGCTATTACACCACTTTTTATTATTACCGCATGTCAGAGGCATGAACATTTTTAGAATGGGCTTATTGTAACTTATGGGGAACTAGAAGTATAACTGTGACTTATGGGGACCCAGGAAGAGGCCCACCTCAGCTCTCATGCGCTTGGCTCTGCGGGCGATGCTGCAGGTCTCCAGAGGCTGAACAGACTGTCGCTGGGGAAGGTCATGGGGGATGTAGTCGGTGTCCTTTGTGTCGTTGGTCAGGGTGGGCTTCTGTAGGGGAGACATGGGGGAGTGAGTGGGCATGTAGAGCTTTCTAGTACAAAGTACACCAATCTCAAACTGATGTGTTTGTCAGAAAATGAGAAGAAAAGGACAATCATTCTGTTTGAACAGAAAGAGCTTTGCTAGCTCCTTGCCACGCCTACTACTATTATGCTGTGATAAATTAAATTTGCCAAAAACAAACCAGGCATCTATATACAACAGGGCCATGTGGTTGTTTAGGTGCCTAGTTGTCTGACAGTTCCCTGGGGGTTCCATTTCAAATCTTTCATTGTTGCCTTTGAACAAAACAATTGTAATGGAGTTTTTGAATACCATGGCTTGATTATAAATACAATCTTCCAATTCAAACCTCTACCCACCACTACACACGGGCTTCAACTGTTGATACTTGTTTTTGTCTTGCCAGATCAACACATGTGGTCTCTGGTCTTTCTGTTGACACCACACACGACAAAAGAGGAAGACAGGCAGCAACACTGTCGGTTGAGGTGGGGGTTGGGAACACTGACGCTCTGCTCTCTGGTATATCAGGAGGACAGTGTTTAGCTCATTAACTTTGCTACAGGGAGTGTGGGGCAAGAGGGAGGAGGGAACAGGAGAGGTCAAGGCCAGAAGGCTGAGAGCGAGAGAGGCATGCAGCACTGCAGAGAGGATGAGCTGCTGCTAACCACAAAACCCAACCAGGGCCCCAAGCAGGGTTGGGTAGGTTACTTTCTAAATGTAATCCGTTTGTTACTAGTTACCTGTCCAAAATTGTAATCAGTAACGTAACTTTTGGATTACCCAAATGCAGTAATGGAATCTGATTACATTCAGTTACTTTTAGATTACTTTCCCCTTAAGAGGCATTAGAAGAAAGACAAAAATGTATGTTACCAATTGAACAACATCTATTGCAGGATATATCAATGTTAAAGTTTACATAGCTGGCCATATATGGATGTTAAATTTTACTTTATGGGTTGGTTATGTAGGCTTCTTCTAACCCATCGCTTTCTACTACATATAATAATACGACTAAATTATATCTATACATTAAAAACCAAAGACTATCAGAATTCCAGTCATTCCAATACATGTTATACACCTTGATCTTAAAGAATAGGCCTTGGAAATATGGAAGTATAGACTAGACATTTTTTACCTGAGCATAACCCCAAAACTAAGGACTTATTAGCCAGCCCTACTCTGTTTATGATTTTCTTGTCATGGAGGACTGATTGGGCTCATTGATTCGAGTTGAAAAATAAATGCTGTGCTCATGGAATGGTATGCTTTGAGCACTACTGAAAACTGTGTTTACATGTGAAAAATGAATGCCATACGCTGAATTTGCTATAGGCCTATTGTTTACCTTTTTGTTGGTGACACTTTGATATCTTGATAATATGCAGCTGTTTAAAGGGTAAATCCACAGATGAAACAATAACAAAACGGTCAACCCGCCTCTGTTTTGGTAAAAAGCTGAGGGATGGGCCTGGAGAAATGTAACCACTCTCAGATTAATAGACAGAGCTATGGATGCAAGGTCTGACCATCCATGATATCAAAATTATTGTTTTAACCATATTATGAGGCTATACAGTGTTTGTTTACATTTACAATGTTTACAAACATTGGAGAAAAACAAGCTTATATTTCTGGTTCTCATGGAGTGTGACAGTTGAACTAAGCTCATGAGGTATTTATAAGATATATATATTAGTGAGGGAAAAAAGTATTTGATCCCATGCTGATTTTGTACGTTTGCCCACTGACAAAAATTATCAGCCTATAATTTTAATGGTAGGTTTATTTGAACAGTGAGAGACAGAATAACAACAAAATAATCAAGAAAAACGCATGTCAAAAATGTTATAAATTGATTTGCATTTTAATGAGGGAAATACGTATTTGACCCCTCTGCAAAACATGACTTTGTGATTGCCAACAAGGGTTTTGCCACCAAGTACTGAGGTCAGACGTTTCTTGTAGTTGGCCACCAGGTTTGCACACATCTCAGGAGGGATTTTGTTCCACTCCTCTTTGCAGATCTTCGAGGTAATTGTCTAGTTTCTCAGAAGTATCTGTAATCTGATTACAATATTTTTGCAGTATGAAAAATATATGCACTCACTAACTGTAAGTCGCTCTGGATAAGAGCGTCTGCTAAATGACTAAAAATTTAAAAAAAATATTTTTTTATCCCTTACATGTAACGGATTACATCTAATCTGTTAGTCCTCCCCAAACCTGACCCCAAGGCACAATCTGGGAAGCTGCAAGAGACAACTGAGGTCTTCAATGAAAATAAACACGGAGACAAGAGGCAACCGGTACTACATTTTATAAAAATAACCCAATGGGGAGGAGAGCTAGCTATGAAAATGGTTGGTTTAATTTCAGGATTCCAGTCATGCTTTTTAAACATCCCAGGCCTCATCTAGCCTATAACTTAATTTGTGTGCAAAACCCAGGATCCTTCAACTCATCATCATATACCGAGAAACAAATAATTTGACATCATCTCTGGCCAAATATCAAACTTATTGAGTATTGTGTAAAAGAGGCTACATGAGTGCCAGTTCAATTCTGAAGTGCCTTCTCTACAGTGTTAGGGCAGTTAATGAGGTTGGCTGGTATTAGCTTAATTTAGGGTGATGCTCTACAATTATATCAACAGCAAAAACATGGATGAATTAAATTGAGATTTTCCTCTTTTTTGTTACCTGCCATGTCGCTAAGGACAATATCAACACCTTTGACTCAGCACAACCTCAGACCTCAACTCGAGATATGAGCACATTAGTAAACAGCCCAGAGCAGAGGACCAAGACAAGGCTACCCATCGGGAGAGAGAGAGACAAAGAGGATGAGAGGGAGGGGTGGAAGATGACTCTGCAGAGAGAGTACTGGGAGACACAGGAGAGAGGGCGAGAGAGCGATAGTGAGAAAGAAAAGAGAGAGAATGTAGACTATACATAGGGGGGAGAGAGACAGAGCGAGAAAGACCCATCACTCACCAGAAGGTTGGCTCCAGTCTGGAACAGGTTGTAGGGGTAAAGGATCCTCTCATAGTGGGAGCGCAGATGAGAGCCTATGGCCTTGCCTGGAGCAAAGCCCATCTTGAGGGCTATCTTAGACCAGCGTCTCTCTCTGCAAACCGCGTCAAAACCCCCCTCATCGTTCACCAACTGGGAAAGGAGCACTCCAATTAATTATGTTTTTACTGTGTGGGTGTTCAAATTTGTCAACATAAGAAGCATATAGAACGCACCATGCTTATATGACTGTATAACACAAATGCACACTGGATCCTATCCAAGAATAGCTGGCCAGTTTCCTGCATCCAGGGAGTGCCAGAAGTTGTAGCTACATACCTTGTTGAGTTGGTATAGGTCCAGAATCTTTCTTTCCACATGAGGGATTTTCAGGGTGCACCCTTGTAGCTCCCAGAACTTTGCGATTTGATCCAGGAAGTTGAGCTTGACTCTGGTTTGAGCCTACTCAACATGAAGATAAACATAATAAGATATGGTACATTTTACACATTGCCAACATAAAACAAATAACATTGATCACACTTGGATAAGATGTTTTTTTATGGTGTTTTATATGCCCTTATCAACATTGTTTATAATAATACATCCCCTGCTGTGCTACTTTTAATTGCAAATGACAGGACATTTACATTTTAACTAGCTCATCGGAGGGGGTCACAAGGGACCTTTGACCTGATGTCATCAGCACTCTGGCTTCAATAAACACCCTGCTGCTGTGGGTTGTAAGCCTGCTGAAGCCACTGTTCTACTGACAATGTCACTCGATGCACCAAAGTAGCCTTCCGAGTCACCTTAGATTAGGCCTAAAGCATTTGCCTACTAATGTATTTGTCAATTTTATTTGATTTATTTAGCACTTATAAAAGAGTGGGATAATTAGAAAATGTAGAAGAGGCCAAATCCCAAAATATCTGTGGAACCTCATTGTAAAAGTAATAAAAACTTGGTTACGTACATATCCAGTTGTTCATAATAAGGTAAGTAGATGCTATTTTCACTCAGTATTGTAATGGATAAACCAGTTAAGCAGGGAAATTAACGTACCTCCAATTCATTAAGTCTCTGGATACGGGGAGTGAAGTGCAGACTATCCACGTCACATGCAAACGGTGGCTGCCATCCCTGCAGGAGTAAACAACACCAGCTTGTCAAACTGACTGAGGAGTCACTAACCTTTTTCCTAGCTTCCATTTAGGAAAATCATGATCAATTGAGCAACAGTCTATGCTGTATTTGAATACATGTTTAAATATGTTATTTATACTGCAGTGTTTAGGAACATTGTGACATGACCGGTTATGTTCCATACAGAAAGTCACATAGGCTGTTCATCCTCAAACTAAATCCATATTTGATATCTCCTCTGGTTACATTATTCCTAATTAACACTACCCTAAATGCCAATCAAACCTGAGTAAAATATATGAAAATGATTTCAATATCACATTAAAACAATTTGATCCTGATGGCTTTGAATAAAAACCTGGAGTGGATATGAAACATATCTTACAAACGGGCGCATGACAGACACACTTGAGTACATATACATGCAAAGTAATAATTCTAATATAAACTGATTATGGCAGTAGGCAGATTATGCAATAGTCATGTAAACACCTTACTCCGTTTACCTTAATCAGCGTAAGGTCAAAATCAAAGTAAGCATACGCCAATTAAAACACCTGGACTTCTGAGAAATCTTTCGAATTATTAGGACATGTAAACACCTGTCATGACTCTCCCTGGGTGAGGATCAAAGGCCTCATATCAGCTTGGCAAATCGCCGACAACAACCAGACCCTCTTAATCACGGGGGGGGGGCTGTGCCAGTCTTGACACCTTAATACTGCCATAGATTAGAGATAGGGGAATCTATCTCTGGCCTCTAGTATGGTGAAAGGAATGTCCTTTGTTTCAGAGACTTTTGCCACCCAAAACTTCAACATCCAACAATGAACATTGGGACAATATATTTCAACATCTAAAATGTTGGGAATGATGAGAAATGGAATATGGAAAATTAATGTCTCTTTTGTGACATCATAAAAAATGGTATAAAAGGTGTTATAACGAAAACATTGTGACTTGAAGAGCTTTTACACTGTGGATATCAGGCTTGCATCCTTTATGTTGGGTAGAAAATATCAAGGAGGAAGACAATGTTTCCGTGAAGATAGGAATGTGATTTTAGCTTTCTAACAAAATCATAGTGATAATAATACTTTTGCCTCGTAACTAGCCACGCCAGAGGGAGCTCAGAGAGCATGTCAGTATGATGGAAACGCCCCTCTTTACCAGAGTGCATAAAAGACTGAGATAAGAATTATCAGATCAGACTAGACGGACCTCAAGCTGCAGCTGTTGTCCATATTGGTCCTGACCCTGAAAATCAACGAGGTGAAGACGACAAAATTGCCTCCACTAACAATCAATGTTACGGCTGAGTAGCTGTTCTATGTACTGTATCTAAGAAGGTGAATTTAAGTGGGACCATCCTGTCACTCTCTTCAAACCATCGTCTACTACACTGCTCTCATCACCCCACAGGGGATCATCAACACGGCTGCTTAGCCGTCCTCAGAAGACCACTTCCAGAACGAGTGAAAGTAAACAGACGACAAACCTCATGGACAATCTGAGCCTTACATCTGAGCCTTACATGTAAAAGGCCATCCGAAAAGAGAAGGCCCAATCGACCCTTCCCACGAAGGCTTGGGTCCAACAGAGACGAAGACAAACACGTAAATACATGCATTACTTCTTACCAAATGGGCGGCAGTTCTGGCAAAGTATTAGGATTACTATGAGCTTAGGTCCATGTGTTTCTCTCTCACTATCTTTTGTAACAAGTGTCATATTGTGTTAGTCCGCGAGGGACCCGTTTTCATTGTATTAAGTTTCTAATCCCTACCTATACTGTGTATGTGTTTGTATCGTGTTATCATTTTTAATTAGTTAGTAAATAATTAAATCAATTTGTGTGGTACGGAATGATCAGTAAGACCCGGGTTCGCGCAGACTTAAGAGCCTACGACTTTCAGAATGAGACTGATATGAGGTAAACGATTAATTAATGACTGTTAAATGATAAGAGATATCTTTAGTGTTAATTCTGGAAACGGTAACTCGTTAAACAACTTTTCCCATGGTGCCCCAAATTCATAATGAGTTAATTGTTACATGATTAATTTAATCTAGTAACAATTAAACATTAGGTAATTATTCGATAAATAATAGTCATCACAATAATGAAAGGCACGTCACGACACACCTTAAATCAACATTCCAGCTGTGTATTTGATCTGTTCATGTGCTAGCACCAGCTGAGCGAGCCTCCCTCTTTAGCGCGAGTGAAGTCAGTTTGATTTATTAGGATACCCCATTAGCCGACGCCAAAGGCGACAGCTAGTCTTACTGGGATCGGACATAACGAAAAAGACATTACAGACAACATACTTTACAATTTACATACATTTAAAAACATTAACATGTAGTGTTAATGGAACAACAATGCATGCGTCTTAGAAGTAGTTTTCACATACAAACTTCCTATGTCGTAACTCAGAATAAAAGATGCTTCGCAAAAATAACATGGTCGCTGTGGTAGAATGTTTATTTTGATTGGCGATTTTCTGCATTTATCAGAGTGCCATCAGGTAGCCTGATTTCAGATGTGTCCATGTAAACAGGATTATTACGGAAATCGTTTTGCAAAGCATGTAAACGTTTTAATCAAACTATTACATTAATCTGATTATCCACAATAATCGCATTATTGTGTGCATGTACAGTGAGGGAAAAAAGTATTTGATCCCCTGCTGATTTTGTACGTTTGCCCACTGACAAAGAAATGATCAGTCTATAATTTTAATGGTAGGTTTATTTGAACAGTGAGGGACAGAATAACAACAAAAAAATACAGAAAAACGCATGTCAAAAATGTTATAAATTGATTTGCATTTTAATGAGGGAAATAAGTATTTGAACCCTCTCAATCAGAAAGATTTCTGGCTCCCAGGTGTCTTTTATACAGGTAACGAGCTGAGATTAGGAGCACACTCTTAAAGGGAGTGCTCCTAATCTCAGCTCGTTACCTGTATAAAAGACACCTGTCCACAGAAGCAATCAATCAATCAGATTCCAAACTCTCCACCATGGCCAAGACCAAAGAGCTCTCTTTGGATGTCAGGGACAAGATTGTAGACCTACACAAGGCTGGAATGGGCTACAAGACCATCGCCAAGCAGCTTGGTGAAAAGGTGACAACAGTTGGTGCGATTATTCACAAATGGAAGAAACACAAAATAACTGTCAATCTCCCTCGGCCTAGGGCTCCATGCAAGCAAGATCTCACCTCGTGGAGTTGCAATGATCATGAGAACGGTGAGGAATCAGCACAGAACTACACGGGAGGATCTTGTCAATGATCTCAAGGCAGCTGGGACCAGTCACCAAGAAAACAATTGGTAACACACTACACCGTGAAGGACTGAAATCCTGCAGCGCCCGCAAGGTCCCCCTGCTCAAGAAAGCACATATACAGGCCCGTCTGAAGTTTGCCAATGGACATCTGAATGATTCAGAGGAGAACTGGGTGAAAGTGTTGTGGTCAGATGAGACCAAAATCGAGCACTTTGCCATCAACTCAACTCGCCGTGTTTGGAGGAGGAGGAATGCTGCCTATGACCCCAAGAACACCATCCCCACCGTCAAACATGGAGGTGGAAACATTATGCTTTGGGGGTGTTTTTCTGCTAAGGGGACAGGACAACTTCACCACATCAAAGGGACGATGGACGGGGCCATGTACCGTCAAATCTTGGGTGAGAACCTCCTTCCCTCAGCCAGGGCATTGAAAATGGGTCGTGGATGGGTATTCCAGCATGACAATGACCCAAAACACACGGCCAAGGCAACAAAGGACTGGCTCAAGAAGAAGCACATTAAGGTCCTGGAGTGGCCTAGCCAGTCTCCAGACCTTAATCCCATGGAAAATCTGTGGAGGGAGCTGAAGGTTTGAGTTGCCAAACATCAGGCTCGAAACCTTAATGACTTGGAGAAGATCTGCAAAGAGGAGTGGGACAAAATCCCTCCTGAGATGTGTGCAAACCTGGTGGCCAACTACAAGAAACGTCTGACCTCTGTGATTGCCAACAAGGGTTTTGCCACCAACTACTAAGTCATGTTTTGCAGAGGGGTCAAATAATTATTTCCCTCATTAAAATGCAAATCAATTTATAACATTTTTGACATGCGTTTTTCTGGATTTTTTTGTTGTTATTCTGTCTCTCACTGTTCAAATAAACCTACCATTAAAATTATAGACTGATCATGTCTTTGTCAGTGGGCAAACGTACAAAAATCAGCAGGGGATCAAATGTTTTTTTCCCTCACTGTAACTGTACAATGTCAATAGACACAGGCACCCGGTTAATAGTTACCAACTCTACTCAGGTGATGCTGATTAACAATGTTAATATTTACAAATAGACCTACACATTTGAGTAACCATAGACTTTCATGGTGCATATCACCAAGTCTTATTTTGGCACTGGACCAGCAGCTGCAATACAGTATTTGATGCACATAAGGCCTTTCTTTAACGTATTTTCTTTGATATGGGCCCTCTGAGTAAAGTTGGTATTTCCAGTCCTCTCATTTTCTATTTAACATTGGGTTCAGAGAGAGAGAGACTGTTTGACAAGAATCAACAGGAAACTCAGTGTGCACTAGTACAGCATCCTTACCTTTGGAGACTACACTGTGACCTTGCATGGCATCTCAGAGTGCCAGCATGCCTGTTTGAATGTGCATGATAACTCAGGAATACAGAACAGTATCATTTTAAAATAGGCTACACAAGTGAGAGGCTCTCAGACTATTTCACTGCAATTCTGTAAATTCAGACCAAGCAACACATAGGACAACCCTTTTTGATCAAATGTGGAAGAATCCATCCTAAAACCCAACTCCCTAAACAAGAAAACCCAACTGTCACCTCAGACTGAGAAGTGAACCAGCTGGGGATGTGGACGAATCTAACTGCCCTCGAGTCATCAAAAATTACTGGAAAAAAATATGTATCCCCTGGGGCCGGGGAGGGGTGTTGATGAGACTGCCATAAATGTAGCCTCCATAGATGACACTTTGACCCTGCACGCTCTGTCTGCAGTGCATGGCCCAGATGGGGACATGGTTTATGAAAACAGCTCTGGTTGCATTTCCATCAGCCCCTTTGTGGAGTAGTGGAGCTATGACAACAGGCAGGCCCATTGCATAAGCACTCCCATTCTGCACATTGCATAAGCACTCCCATTCCGCAAAACACCTTCCATCCTCTGAACAGCTAGCCAAATTCAGCCATCATTAGTGCTTGCCTATGGAGCTGTGAGGGGAACGGCACCTCCGTACCTTCAGGCTCTGATCAGTCCCTACACCCAAATGAGGGCATTGCGTTCATCCACCTCTGGCCTGCTGGCTCCCCTTCCTCTGCGGAAGCATAGTTCCCGCTCAGCCCAGTCAAAACTGTTCGCTGCTCTGGCACCCCAATGGTGGAACAAGCTCCCTCACAACGTCAGGACAGCGGAGTCACTCACCACCTTCCGGAGACATTTGAAACCCCACCTCTTTAAGGAATACCTGGGATAGGATAAAGTAATCCTTCTACCCCAACCCCCCCCCCCCCCCCCCTCTGATTATTAAATTCAACAAAAAATTATTTTCAGCATTTTCATCAATTTCTGCATTCTTGGAGATCCTTTCCACACTGCCACGTAGGGATGCATGATATGGGCAAACAATCTAGGCCTTATCTTTTATAAAATGTCGCAATTGTGATTTGACTTGCGATTTAGAGCAAAACACTTGGGTGAACTGTTGGAATCATGGAAATATAAAGATTGTTCTAATGCTATAGTTAGAATATAATATTGGCCACTTTGAATACAGTGTTGTTTGACATAAATGCCAGAGAGGCATTACTGTGACAGAATAGGAACTAAAGTGTTGATAAATGTTTCCTAGGGGACCCTATAAACTTTAGCTACATTTAATGTTTTATTTTAGCTACTTCATGTAGCTAACAAATTCTTGCTTTGCGTATTCCTCTTTGATTTAGAAGATACTGTCACACAAATAACATGCTGATTTAGATCTACACCATCACTGGTATTATCAGGCTGTATAGCTAATTACATTTGCTCTCAGTACATTTATTAGCTAGTTAGCATTAGCGATTAACAAGATTTAAGCCTAACTTGCTAAGAAAAGACAAACTAGTTGTTTGCTGATGTAAGAAACACAGACTAATAGTGTAGTAATAGAACGCTAGTGGAATTATATTAAGAAGCAAAGTGAAAACCGCATTATTGACTGTAAAGAGGGGAACAAAACTGTTTAAATAATACAAAACAAATGGTGGGGACTAAACAATGTGCTGGTAAACAATGTTAATACATAAAAACAGGTTGCCTAGGTTGTTTCTCAAATATTTTAAATGTAGGTTATTTTAGGTGTACAACATTGTTATTGCATAGTATTTTAGTAATTGATTGTAAATGACCATATTTTGTTGTGGTATGCGGGACAGTCCCTATTCCTGTTGTCTAATAAAACAATTCTCAACTCAATTAGGCTAGAATGCATTTACTATGGTATGCAACAACAGCCTACAAAGTGCAATTACAGTATTACTAAAAAGGTATAACTACTAATGTAAAGTGTTACCCAAATTACTATGTTTAATGAACTACTATCAAACCTTGTAGTAATACTTTTTATTGCAAACGACAGCAATAATGCATGCATACCGCAGTAAAAAAAAGTTATTACCATAGGCTACTTTGAGGAAATTGTTTTGATAATCAATGTTCAGGGGCCAGCCCTTCAAAAACCATTGAGTTACCATTAGAAAAGGGGTCAAATTATTCACACAGATGAATTAACAAATATCCCTAGCAAAATCTGATTAATAATAATAATAATAATAAAGGTGGGTGCTTATATTTGTCCTGTTTCACACATGTACAAATGTGTATTATAAACTGGGTGGTTCGAGCCCTGAATGCTGATTGGCTGACAGTTGTGGTATATCAGACCATATACCACAGGTATGACAAAACGTTTATTTTTACTGCTAATTACGTTGGTAACCAGCTAATAATAGCAATAAGGCACCTGGGGGGGTTTGTGATATATGGCCAATATACCACGGCTAAGGGCTGCCTTGCATCGTGCCTAAGAACAGACCTTTGCTGTGGTATATTGACCTTTTACCACACCCACTCAGGCCTCATTGCTTAATTATACAAGTATGAAATAGAAATGTGTTTTTGCATATCACAACCCCGAGACACCCTCGAAGAGTGGGGTCACGGCCGGGGTCAGACATGATCAAAGAAGACCATGCCTTGCTCAAGGACACATCCACAGACTTTTCACCTCGTCAGCTCGGGGATTCGAACTGGCAACCTTTATGTTACCGGCCCAACGCGTTATCCGCTAGGCTACCTGCCACCGATTATTATTTAATATAGTGTTACATTGTTAAAACTCCAAAAGGAAAAGTTACTTGATTTGTACACACAATCCAGTTTTTAAAACACACCCACTACCACAAAGACAACATGGAGGACATTTACCAAGGTAGGAGACACGCCTACAACATCAACATATACAGGCCTCTAAAATCAACCCCACTCCCAGTTATCAAATAATCTAGGTTGTCATGATGCACGTAGCCGTCACACGGCAATCCAGCATCAAAACATTGTGATGTCGATATAACCACCAATATGGAAGGCTATTTTATAAATATCTTCCAATTTCACATTACAACATTGATAAACTGGAGGGCATTTAAGTGACTTGGTCAAATGTATTATTTCTGTGTCATTTTACAATGAACAACTCCCAGGAAGAGAAAAGTTAACCAACCTTTTCACCCATTCATTTGACCAATAGCCTCTAAAGACCCATCCAAATACAATGTAACGTACTCTCTGGAACATAGGCGATACTTTATTGGAACTTTGTCGGGCGTCTGTCTGCACATAGATCACTGGGCGCGTGCGTGTACATGCACACATAATATACACAGACGAAGCTGGTAATTCAACTCAAGCCGCCATGTTGAAAATCTGTCTAAAAAGATAAGTAAACGACAAAATGTCACCAACAACCTATAGAAAATATTTTAGCAGGAGTTTGAAATATTACCCTGATTAAAGACACTCACCTTCGGCGGTCGGACCTTGCAGATGCCCGTTTTCTCTGCAATAGGCCGTATTTTGTTGATATACGCAAATGGATCGGCAAATTCCTCCCAACTGGGCTCAAAAACAGGACACTCTGGTGGAGCAATAAACTCGTTGGGCCGAGGCTGGGTCATCGTTGCATCTTCGTTCTAAATAGCGGCGAGTTGCAAGTATTAATTAAAGTTAAATGAAAGCTGTCTTTGAAGAACTGCACCCTTTAACTCAGTAATTAAGAACATCACCACTCACTCATTGAAGTCTCACGCGCATTAGCTGGTCGGGGAACAGCACCTACTTCCGCTTGAGAAAATAGAGACCACTACACACAGACTAGCTACGAAACATTCAAATAGTTTTTTTTTTTTTTTTTTACAAATAACTACCCACCGTTGCTTCAGTCATGGCATGCCATTTTTGGGGTTTATATACAAAAATATCGCATTGTCAACGCACTAGATTACATCTCAACTGATTGCTGCAAATAAGAAACAAATGGTCAGTAAATAATATTGTTTTGTTTTTTACACGTAATCAAAATATGGTGTACACAACCTACCGATTGTCATTTAAAATTGGTCCGACCAAGAAAATAACTGTATTTTATATAGTTAATAAAACGAATAAATAAGCAAATCAAATATATTTTGATTCTTCTTTCTTCAGCCTATAGTACACAAATGTATATGCTATCTTTTGAGTTATGCACTCTAGTGGCAGTGAAACAGATGAGCGCATTCATACTAAAACCTCGTGGTGACCGGGACTTGTTTTTTAAATGGACCCGATGGACTCGTTGATTGGGTGTCATTCCTTCAATTCTGGTGGCAGTAGGGTGCGGAGACCAGGGCCAGAGACTTTACAAGTGATACACGGAGTGTACAAAACAATAGAAACACTTGCTGTTTCCATGAGACTGGCCAGGTGATAGCTATGATCCCTTATTGATGTCACTTGTTAAATCCACTTCAATCAGTGTAGATGAAGTGGAGGAGACAGGTTAAAGAAGGATTTTTAAGCCTTGAGACATGGATTGTGTACGTGTGCCACTCAGAGGGTGAAAGGGCAAGACAAAATATGTAAGTGCCTTTGAACAGGATATGGTAGTAGGTGCCAGGCGCATTGGTTTGAGTGTGTCAAGAACTGCAATGCTGCTGAGTTTTTCACACTCAACAGTTTCCTGTGTGTATCAAGAATGGTCCACCACCGAAAGGACATCCAACCAAAAGCAGGCCACTGGTCGAAAATGGGTCATTGATGAAAGAGGACAAAGGAGGCTGACACACATTGTGCAGCGCGACAGACGGGCTACAGTTAGTCAACTGACAGTCCAGCGCAACATTGGTGACCAAAGACCCATAAAAGAATGCACAACTCGTCGTACCTTGACACGAATAGGGTATGGTAGCCAACGACCTTACAGAGTTCCACTTTTTTCAACAAAAAACAAGAAACTGCGGTTGCAGTGGGCTAAGGAACGAATACACTGGATACTGCACAATTGGAAAAACATTGCCTGGTCTGATGAATCACGGTTCCTGCGGTTTCATGCTGATGGGAGGACTAGGGTATGGAGAAAACCACGAGTACATGCAGCCATCATGCCGCTTTGCAGGCTGGTGGTGTGATGTCTTTTCATGGCACACATTTGGTCCCTTGATAAAAGTGGAGCAACATTTGAATGCCACAGGTTACCTGAACATCATTGCCAATCATCAGGTGCATCTCTTCATTTTTTCAACAAGATAATGCCCAATGCTACAAGGCTAGGATTGTCCTGGAATGGTTCCACAAACATGACATAAGTATGAAAATGTATGAACTCACTACTGTAAGTCGCTCTGGATAAGAGCATCTGCTAAATTACAAATGTAAAAATGTAATCTTACTTCAGTGGCCTGCCCAATAACCACATCTCAATCCAATTGAGCATCTGTGGGATGAGATGGAATGAGCTAGTTGGAGTAGAGAGCCACAACCAGCCAACTTGACAACTGTCGGAAGCATTGGAGTCAACATGGGCCAGCTTCCCTGTGGCACACTTTCGACACCTTGTAGAGTCCATGCCCCGACAAATTGAGGCTGTTGAGGGCAAAAGGGGGTGCAACTCAATATTAGGAAGGTGATCCTAATGTTTTGTGCACTCAGTGTACATGTAAAATTGGCAAGCTATTCCATAAATAAAAACAATAGGCTACTCGAACCAATAGTGAATACATCTTTAAGTTAGATAAACCTGTTCCGAAGCGACTGTCCAATGAAAGTATAATAAATATAATTAATTCCATCAACCACAGGGGGTTTTGAGTTAACAGCACTGACATCCTATTTCCCATGCAATCACGTCAACGAGGGTGTACTCCATCCTAGAACTCACAAACTGGTAAAAAACCACTCCCATTACTCAGCATGCAAGGTGAAGGGTGTGCCAAGCGGATAAGTACACTAACTAGTTCAAATGCTGCACATCATTTCATATTACCATCTGCAATAAGTATTAGTAGTAATATTTCAGAAGTAGGAAGTAATAAGTAGGCCTATACAAGTAATACAATTCAGCAGAGGCTGTAGGGTTAACCTCAGACCAAAGCATAACACCATAATATGGGTTAGTTAAAGTATTGGATTGAATAACATTTGTCCAGAGAACCACATCAATACCATTGTTTATCAGTAGAGAACAAAAAGTGATAGAAGTGAACACTTGGTCTTGCTGAACTAAGGAGTCATCATAACCGAGACAGCATCCAGCACCAGCCAGAAGGGGGAAGAGAAGGAGTAAAGAGTTACGGACAAGACAGACCAACACAAATGTCGGCCATCCCAGCGGGTGACCGCTCTATTGCCTCTGACCACAGAACATTGGCCGTCCTTTTCTGTTCATTTCCCAACTGTTCTACATGTTGAAACGCCACTGTCCGCCGAAACCCAGAAGGTAATCTACTGCACATGGCCAACGTTCGTGTTGGTCTGTCTTGTCCTTCAGTTCCAAATTGTACACCCTCTGATGTTTCCCCAGGTTCTTATGATGGGCCACATTAGGCATGATTGACTCTTTCCAATGCAACATAGAAGCTCTTTTTGTCATCCAGGCAGTGCCAGCCAATGGGTCCAATCTCACAGTCTGCACAAATTAGGTACTTGATTCTGCCCACGTCCTTGGTGAAGCCCACATTCTCAAAGGTGTACATATCATCGACTAACCAGTGGGCAGTCAGTTTGTCCCTATCCACGGATCCCTGTGATTGGGTGATAGTGGTCTTCTTCCGCATTGAGGGCAGGAACAACTGGAGCATATTGGGGAGGAAATAAAAGACAAGATTCATCATGTCAATGAGCCTTAATATGAATAGATAAACAGAAGTGATTTCACTCCCTGACATTTAGTCACATCTTGGCATAGCAAATTTCACATTGTATGCACAATATAATTTCGTGCATTTGGTGGTGGTTAGACATTGCACTACGCTGAAAACAAAGCAACTATGATGAATGCCCATTCGGATAGGAAAATACTTATTTATGCTATAACTAGTCATTTTAGGTAATTTGTCTTTAGGGGTTACTCCTGTCTGAGGTGAACCTTACCTCCTTCTCTGCAAACACCGCCATCCCTGGGCAGAGGACCTTCGATCCACAACGTTGGCACAAAACTGACTTGATATTCTTTCCATCCTCTGACACCAGCGTAGACCGGTCGACGCATCCTTCAGAGGGAGAGCACTGTTCGTGGTTGTCCATGTTGAACGCGAATAGAAGGCAACTTATGTGACTATAGTACACATATAAAGCGAATGCTAAGATTGTTAACTATAGTCAAACCACTGCTCTATATATGTTTTGCAACTATTTGTTGCTTTACCGAGCAAACAGTACCCACCTAGCTAGCTAGCTAACTAATATCGGCTAATGCGAACTTCGAGGCGTCAACTCACCTTTTTGCTGTACATTGGGCTTAACAACCTTCCCTATAAATAATGGCTAGAGTACGCCTAAAGTACTTTCAAACGGTAGTACAAATAATGTAACTAAATTGTATTTAAAACACTCGGCTATATCAAACAACAAGCGTTGCTGGACAGTGTGCACCCGCTGAAACTTCCGTTCAGAAAACCACATCGCTAAATTATAGCGTTCCTCCGTCGTGTAGGACGTTTGGTTTTTTTTAAATAACTGCTGCTAGATTGTTCTTTATCTAGAGATACTTTTTTTAAATAATGTAATTTCATCGAATCACTATAATATACTATTTTAGGGAAACAATAAGTCTACTATAGCTCAAATATAGTTAAAACCATTTTGTTTTTACTTTGGATAAGATCACAACTGACAGACACTTGTGACAGTAATAATCATATCCACCCAGTTTACCAGTAAGGTCAACAATATATAAGATGCCAGCATGTGTCTGATACTGCACAAACCGTTCGTTAAGGTTAGTGTTTCCACACGGCCATATCTCCATATTACAGCGCTTGTTTACGGAAGACAGACAGAAGATACGATGATAGATATACTGACAAGATACACTGCATGACCAAAAGTATGTGGACACTTGCTCGCCGAAAATCTCATTCCAAAATCATGGACATTGATATGGAGTTGGTGCCCCCTTTGCTGCTATAATAGCCTCCACTCTTCTGGGAAGGATTTCCACTAGATGTTGGAACATTGCTGCGAGGACTTACAGTGAGGGAAAAAAGTATTTCATCCCCTGCTGATTTTGTACGTTTGCCCACTGACAAAGAAATGATCAGTCTATAATTTTAATGGTAGGTTTATTTGAACAGTGAGAGACAGAATAACAACAACAAAATCCAGAAAACCGCATGTCAAAAATTTTATAAATTGATTTGCATTTTAATGAGGGAAATAAGTATTTGACCCCCTCTCAATCAGAAAGATTTCTGGCTCCCAGGTGTCTTTTATACAGGTAACGAGCTGAGATTAGGAGCACACTCTTAAAGGGAGTGCTCCTAATCTCAGTTTGTTACCTGTATAAAAGACACCTGTCCACAGAAGCAATCAATCAATCAGATTCCAAACTCTCCACCATGGCCAAGACCAAAGAGCTCTCCAAGGATGTCAGGGACAAGATTGTAGACCTACACAAGGCTGGAATGGGCTACAAGACCATCGCCAAGCAGCTTGGTGAGAAGGTGACAACAGTTGGTGTGATTATTCGCAAATGGAAGAAACACAAAAGAACTGTCAATCTCCCTCGGCCTGGGGCTCCATGCAAGATCTCACCTTGTGGAGTTACAATGATCATGAGAACGGTGAGGAATCAGACCAGAACTACATGGGAGGATCTTGTCAATGATCTCAAGGCAGCTGGGACCATAGTCACCAAGAAAACAATTGGTAACACACTATGCCGTGAAGGACTGAAATCCTGCAGCGCCCGCAAGGTCCCCCTGCTCAAGAAAGCACATATACAGGGCCGTCTGAAGTTTGCCAATGAACATCTGACTGATTCAGAGGAGAACTGGGTGAAAGTGTTGTGGTCAGATGAGACAAATCAAGCTCTTTGGCATCAACTCAACTCGCCGTGTTTGGAGGAGGAGGAATGCTGCCTATGACCCCAAGAACACCATCCCCACCGTCAAACATGGAGGTGGAAACATTATGCTTTGGGGGTGTTTTTCTGCTAAGGGGACAGGACAACTTCACCGCATCAAAGCGACGATGGACGGGGCCATGTACCATCAAATCTTGGGTGAGAACCTCCTTCCCTCAGCCAGGGCATTGAAAATGGGTCGTGGATGGGTATTCCAGCATGACAATGACCCAAAACACACGGCCAAGGCAACAAAGGAGTGGCTCAAGAAGAAGCACATTAAGGTCCTGGAGTGGCCTAGCCAGTCTCCAGACCTTAATCCCATGGAAAATCTGTGGAGGGAGCTGAAGGTTTGAGTTGCCAAACGTCAGGCTCGAAACCTTAATGACTTGGAGAAGATCTGCAAAGAGGAGTGGGACAAAATCCCTCCTGAGATGTGTGCAAACCTGGTGGCCAACTACAAGAAACGTCTGACCTCTGTGATTGCCAACAAGGGTTTTGCCACCAAGTACTAAGTCATGTTTTGCAGAGGGGTCAAATACTTATTTCCCTCATTAAAATGAAAATCAATGTATAACATTTTTGACATGGGTTTTTGTTGTTATTCTGTCTCTCACTGTTCAAACAAACCTACCATTAAAATTATAGACTGATCATGTATTTGTCAGTGGGCAAACGTACAAAATCATCAGGGGATCAAATACTTTTTCCCCTCACTGTACTTCCATTCAGCCACAAGGGCATTAGTGAGGTCGGGCAGTGATGTTGGGTGATTAGGCCTGGCTCGCAGTCAGCGTTCCAATTCATCCCAAAGGTGTTCGATGGGGTTGAGGTCAGGGCTCTGTGCAGGCCAGTCAACTTCTTCCACACTGATCTCGACAAACCATTTCTGTATGGACCTCACTTTGTGCACGGGGGCATTGTCATGCTGAAACAGGAATGGGCCTTCCCCAAACTGTTGCCACAAAGTTGGAAGCACAGAATAGTCTAGAATGTCATTGTATGCTGTAGCGTTAAGATTTCCCTTCACTGGAACTAAGGGGCCTAGCCCGAACCATGAAAAACAGCCCCAGACCATTATTCCTCCTCCACCAAACTTTACAGTTGGCACTATGCATTGGGCTAGGTAGCGTTCCCCTGGCATCCGCCAAACCCAGATTTATCTGTCGGACTGCCAGATGGTGAAGCGTGATTCATCACTCCACTCCAGAGCAAGCACTTCCACTGCTCCTTAGTCCAATGGCTGCAAGCTTTACACCACTCCAGCCGACGCTTGGCATTGCGCATGGTGATCTTAGGCTTGTGTGCAGCTGCTCGGCCATGGAGACCCATTTCATGAAGCTTGCAGTTTGGAACTCGGTAGTGAGCGTTGCAACCGAGGATAGACCATTTTTATGCGCTTCAGCACTCGGCTGTCAGCAACGGGTGTGGCTGAAATAACCAAATTCACTAATTTGAAGGGGTGTCCACATACTTTTGTATATATAGTGTACATGTCTCGCGGCCTTAACAATGGGAATCGTTGTCTACAAAGCGGCACGGCAGGCTGTCTAGCTCCCGCCTATGCTTTCTTTGGATTGGTGGATACATCACATAATTGTAATCCTATTTTGAATATTCGATGAGCGTTGTTGACGTCAACCGCCTGTATTCAATGGAGAGAGATGCTATGCTAGTAGCCTCATGTCATGAATATGCATAGCCATCTCGAGATTCCGATATAAAGCGTTTTTTCTCAACGTTGCAGGGATGTCACGTGTCCTACTTATATCAGTACACTCAACACAACTTAACCATTACGAAACTTCTATTGGATCAAATAAATTTGACACTCTCATTGAACTCGCTTGGTGGGCGAAACAATAAAAGAATCGCCGCCTGCTGGAGGGAGACCTCAGTGGAGATGACCACCTGACCTAGCGTGCGCTGGGGAGAAAGTGTAGTCAGCAGGAGAAAGTGTAGTGGAAGTGTAGTTCGTCGGCTGGAGGCACACAGCCATATGTATCTATGCAATTCTGCTACGGTAAATGTATCTTTGTTATTTGAAAGATTCTTTCTCGCTTATATGAAAGATAAGTACCATATGTAGTTCACTTGGTCCCTCCAGTAAGCTGCGCTAATAGCTGAGAACCCTTGGGATAAGGCAGAATGCCTTGTTATTGGGCACGTTCGAGCGGATCACTTTTGTGAAGTCGGTGACCAACGCCCTTCAAAGTGTGTTGCATTATGGGGATACAATTGTCCAACTTGCGGCTACATGTCGACTGCATGAACTTAACAAAAATAATGTGATCAAAGGTCATGAAATTTTGACTGCAAGTTTCTGCAGTTGCTCTTCACCAACTTCATCCTGCTGCCATCGCCTGCAGCCATCAGCTCTATTGTCTACCAATCATTAGGGTGTTTTTGTTTGACTCATGTGAGCGTGACCAAAGACATGACTGAAACAGGAACCAACTTTGCCAAGATCATAGATAGATATATATATATATATATATATATATATATATATAGCATCTGTCACAGCATGGGCAACGTCATTGAGGCAATCTCCATTTTTAAGTAGTCTTTTTTTTTTTTCACAATTGGCTGATCCCTCCTGATGGGTCCAACCGGGTCATCAGTAGGGATCAGCCAAAGATTTTTTGGAATAACCCAAGATAGACCAGAGCCTGTCGTTTGCATTCAGAGCAAATTAATCATAGTGGGCAGAACAAGTAGAGCTTCCCAGTGACACAAGCCTACCAGACGAGCTAAACCACTTCTATGCTCGCTTCGAGGCAAGCAACACTGAAGCATGCATGAGAGCACCAGCTGTTCCGGATTACTATGTGATCACGCTCTCCATAGCCGATGTGAGTAAGACTTTTAAGCAGGTCAACATTCACAAGGCCGCAGGGCCAGACGGATTACCAGGACGTGTACTCCGAGCATGTGCTGACCAACTGGCAAGTGTCTTCACTGACATTTTCAACATGTCCCTGACTGAGTCTGTAATACCAACATGGTGTGGCCCTCTGTAGCTCAGCTGGTAGAGCACGGCGCTTGTAACGCCAAGGTAGTGGGTTCAATCCCCGGGACCACCCATACACAAAAATGTATGCACGCATGACTGTAAGTCGCTTTGGATAAAAGCGTCTGCTAAATGGCATATTATTATTTATTTTTATGTTTCAAGCAGACCACCATAGTCCCCGTGCCCAAGGACACTAAGATAACCTGCCTAAATGACTACCGACCTGTAGCACTGACGTCTGTAGCCATGAAGTGCTTTGAAAGGCTGGTCATGGCTCACATCAACACCATTATCCCAGAAACCCTAGACCCACTCCAATTTGCATACCGCCCCAACAGATCCACAGATGATGCAATCTCTATTGCACTCCACACTGCCCTTTCCCACCTGGACAAGAGGAACACCTACGTGAGAATACTATTCATTGACTACAGCTCAGCATTCAACACCATAGTGCCCTCAAAGCTCATCACTAAGCTAAGGACCCTGGGACTAAACACCTCCCTCTGCAACTGGATCCTGG